TGTAAAAGCAAGTGGGTCATGATCAGGTCGCCTCGTAGTCGGCGATACCGCCCGCTGAATACTTCTAAACGTTTCAGCGGCTCGTATGGAAGGTGGCGCACTTCAATGATGTATTTGGATGCCCGATATCGAGGTTGGTCTAGTGCAGTAGGGTCGTTCTTTAGCCATGGCTGCCAGGCTTGGATTGCATATTCGACATGGGGATGAACATACGAATTCAACATGTGTCTGAAAGTACTGGTGTATAATTGTCCGAACGCCCCTCGTCGCAAGCCGGCGTGCTGGTTACCAATTTTTGAGACCTTTGCGACTGCTTGGAACAACTCAAATTATCCTGAACAAGCACGTCAAGATCGCCTTCGACAGATGATAGCTGCATTGCTTGCGTTCCCAGCCTGCAGAAAAAGTACTCTTGTGTCCTAGGGGAGTATCTGGCATTTGTACACCTCGAACTGTAGACGATTTCGGGTTGAGCACCCATGTGCCATATCCAGGCTACAATGAAGTGACAGCCACCGCCTTGCGAATGCAGGATGCCCCAACCTTCCAACGAGACGTCCGCCACTGTTACATACCCACATCCCTAGCCCGAATTTTGCTTCTTATTAACATCGCATTAACCGCCACATCTGTGTTGAAGCAACAGCGCTCACCACGTACCAACGGTTCGCCTGGAATCGATGACATCCAAACGATGGCGCTGAAATTGACAACAACAACGCTGGCCGGATCATTAGCGCATTGCTTCCAAACTTGTTTGGATACACAAATTGTGCCTACCATGTGGAAACCTGGTCTAATCACTCCGATTTTCAAAAGCGGTACTCGCTCGTAACCCGCCAAATATCGCTCAGTGGTCCTCCTCCCTGTGCTCTAAAAGATAATAGAAATAATCATCGCTGAGGCTTCAGTAGACCATCTAGAGCGCCACAATATCATAACACCCGAGCAACACGGTTTCTGCCAGCACCGTACACGCACTACCAACCTACTGATTGCACGCAGTAGTTGGACGGAAGCGATCGGTGAAGACAGAGGGGCAGACGTCAGTTACCACTGTTGTGTTTCCGCTGACAGTGCGGATAACTGATGCAACCAGTCTGGGCACGACACAGCCACTTTCCAAATCAAAAGAAAAAAGCCTCTGGTGGAACCTGGATGGAACACTCGGAAGACAGAATGTAATGCTAAAATATTGGGTCTAACTAAATAGTTCATGAGAGAAAAGGTTCCTGACTATAGCAACTGCTAGATGCGCAAATCTCGCTTGTTGGCTGAGAAAGTAGTGTGCTTACTGGAGGGCTTCAAGGTCATTCTGATTGGTCCGGCTCAAGGTAGAACGATGCTATTGGCTTACTCCCATTGGTTAGCCAATCGGATGCAGGCGGCATACAGCTAATCTTCTCCCTGCTGCTCCAGACAGAGAGAGAGAGCTAGCCTCGATGGTTGCCATGTGCGGGCTACGGTAACAATACCGTCTTCTCCAAAGACTTAAGTAGACTGATCCACCGCATTCTGCTTCACAGGCTCGGAAGCTGTAAAGTTTTGGATCCTGCCCTTGGGTGGATCAAGAATTTCCTGCAGGATCGGCAAATGCAGTCCGAGTTCGAAGTGCGCTGTCCGACCCGAATCATATTGAATATGGGATTCCACAATGATCAGTTCTGGGGCCGCGTCTGTTCCTCGTGTTCAATAACGAGCTTAAGTATTTGGTTGCCTCAGAGTTTGTGCTCTTCGCTGATGACATTACGAAGTGGCGGACGGTCGCATACCCAGGAGATCACGATACATTTCAGCGAAACCTGAACAGAACATATGAGGGGTAACTCGATAATCCGCTCCAGGTTTAATTCGGGGAAGTGTAAGGTGTTGCAATTCGCCGCTATCCTAGCATCACATATAAGCTTGGAGATCGTGTGTTTGCAAGTAGTCAACAAGAAGCGCGACCATGGGGGACTAATCCAGGCCAACTTGGATTGCTCAGAATAAGCTGGAAAGGTGTCAGATGTTGGAAAGCAAAGGTTGACATGCTGCGGAAGGCATTTGGGCGGTTCGTTCCCTCTGTCTGTTCGCAGTTGCCAAACACATACGTACGGCCTATTGTGGAATGCGCAATTCAGGCTAGGCAGTCCTGGCTCAAGCAAAATGTTGCAGCGCTCGAGACTCCACAGGGACGAGCCAGAAAGCATATCAAAGGCTTTCTAGATCCTCCGTATCAACTTAGACTGAGGACCCTAAAATTAAACAGCGGTCGGTATCGACGCCTACGGGGCGACCTTATTATTGCCTAGCAGATTCTAAAGAACCCCAAGCATGTCTTCGCCAACTACTTCAACAGAGCCACAACACGAATTTGAGAGGCCAGCAGTTCAAGTTAGGTACGCAATACCATCGGCTAGAATGTCCGCGGAACTTTTGCGCTCTTCGTATGGGCCAGCCATCAAACGCCCTCCCAAATTAGGTTGTTTCCGCTCTAAATTTACCTGTGTTTAAAAAATGCGTTGTAGTTGCCCTAACACGTCTACACTACGAGATATATCCTGCGAGTCTCGACAGACCATATAATGCAAAGAATGTTTCACAACCAGAATTAACCTACAAGACTGTGGTTGACCTTTTCTACTTGCCTCTGTGTTAACACTGTAGTGAGTCCAGTAAAACGATTTTCATGTTATCCCTTTGTTTTCTATTCGTCATATTGTGGTACTCATTTTGGCCATCCAACTAGACTTGCCAAGCATCCTCTTTCTTGCCCGTAATGTACCATTGTTCCTTCGTTCCGTCGTCATTGCTCGCTCCAGTTAGATGCTGATTCACGTGGCCTGAAGAAGCTAGTGTGTCAAAAGGGAAACGTTAACCTGCAGACACGTAAATTGATTATTCCCAAACTAGCCTAATCTCATGTCCCGCCGTGTCTAGTTGTATTTAGTTACCTTGTGAAAGCAGCTATAACCAACTCTTTTGTCACGTGTTTCTGGATGAAAATTTCGATTTCTAGACTGAATTCTTTACACTCATCTGTCTTGTAATTTGATGGTTTCGTGTCACAGTTAATAAACTATCTAGCACAAGTGCTAAGGGTGTCATACAGCTGTTGAAATATAAACAGCGGCTTTATCGCACGAATGGAGATTAGTTGGACGCTGTTGGTTGCAGCGTTCCGTACAGAAAAGCATAAAAGACAAATCGTAGGTCACATGCTGACGTCCGATCTATTCCGAGTTAAGTTCACGAAACATCCTGGCAATACAGCTTTTGCTATTAACATAAATATGTGAAAGTTGTATTCACATAGACAACGTGATGAAAGGTTCGATCTTTTTATCACAACAAATTGTCGGAGTTTGGCACGTGAATGCGCGAGCTTGGGTTGATTGTCTTTACAGAAAGCATAAGTTATCTGCGTAGTGTGTGCCATGGCGACATCTGGAAATGTCGTGACAGCTCTTACCATCCTCGTGCAGAATGGAAATGCACCGTTGAGAGCAAACTGGAGAAGTAATGCTCACAGTCCTGTGTGGCTCTATCCGATACTGAAATAGTAGAACGCTTGTTTTTCACGCATTTTTATGCATAAACCTCGAAGCGCATCGCAAACGTCGAACCTCCATAACAAGCATGGTTGCCAGCATCCGGTTTCGGATTTACCTGTCACTGTGGCCAACCACAGGACGCCTGTGCCTACAGAGGAACCATGGATGGCTTGCGCTGCACCACCCACAACTCCATCCAGTGTAAACCCGAAGGAATAAGACGGGGCGGCATGTGGATGGGAGCCATGTTTCATCAACGGAGCCGGCCCACACTCCTTCACAGGCAAACACAAGCACGCTGTATTTGGGAATCAGTCGTACACAAGGCGGTGATCTTACCGTAGTCTGCTCCACACTGAGTGCATGGAACCACTCTTCGAGCCTAGCACGGCCGTTAGGACCGTGTACCCCGTCCCCTCCAGCAACGACCAACTGCCTCCTGGGACGAGTATGGACGAGGTAGTGGGTAATAGACAGGTAGGCACCTTGTCAACATGCACATCAAGCGCAGCCACACCGCGAATATCAAGCAACAGGCAATCACTTGAAACGATAAGATGAAATAAAATAAATCGGGTAATGCATACAGATACGGTGGCACAACTATTCGACAAATTATCATATGAAGTAAGTTTTTTAGCAACGAATCCACGATAAGCAAGAATGTCCACAAATTACTTAAAAATGCTGCAAACGCAACAAAGTTAACGAAGATAAGCACAATTAGCGTAAGCAACGTGGTCAGTTAGTAGAAGAGCATTCAGGTAGGCAGAACAAACCAAATGAAGTAGAATGAAATTTATCCAGCTTAAAAGACCTAGTTTAAGTGTAAGTTGGTTTAGCCCAACTGCGGTGAAGAAGCATCATGAATGCAACCTCAGCCTCAGTAAGGGGCACTCAAAACCAGCATACATTACTGTTTAAATCATTAGAACGGCATTTGTGTAAAACAAAAGCAACGACTGCACTTGTGTGTATCTATTGGAACAAAGCTCGAACCGACTTGGTTAGCAAAGTTGCAACCGGTTCACATCGATCGCGCGTCAAACAGTGCTCAAACTACGGATGCAAACACCAAGCTTGGTCGATACAGACACACGTGCGTCTGAGTATGTGGTCTGTTCAGCCAACACTCTAGGAGTCTGTCAATTGTGAGAGATAAAATTATTGCTGTTTAATTCATGGGGCGCGTTCCGTCTTAACCGTGTAAAAGTCATCAGTAGTTAAAACCCTATTTTTCTCAAATCCTGTGAAAACCACATATAATTACAAAAAACTGAACAAATAAGAAGGCTTTTCAGTGGTCACTAGGATGACGATTGAAACTATCCATTTTACCAAAGCAAAATAGACATATACAGAAATAGAAGAAAACCAACTGTACTCCTTGTACTCACAGAGAGATTATTATATTTTTCTTATTTTTCATGGAACCTACGACGTTCAATCTCAATGTCACTGTATCAGCCCTCGGAATGAGCAACTACGCCACTTCATTCACGTGAAGGTCGGGGACATGAGCTACCTGGTTTACAAGCCATTGTCAAGCTGAATGACATGGAGCCATTTGGGATACCAGAAAATTATTTTCAAGCACGGTCGAAAGATGACTGCCTCCATTGGGAGTCGGATCAAGTTTGTTTAGGTGATACTACGCCTATAGGTACTTCCCACCTTTTGACTTTGATCAATGTACTCGATAATGTTATCCCCGGATGTGACACAATGTCGCGTTTAGTAACACAGTGTAACCTTCGTTTGTATTTTGATATGGTTTTCCAATGGCACTGGTTATTTTCTGTTGTTGCTATGCGTAGAAGACTGTGAACATGTAAGTCTATTTTGGTACCATCCGAAAGGGATAAAATAGTTCCCAATGTGAAACTGACAAACATTGAGTCCATTCCTTGATGGAGATGCGTTGCAGCCGCAATCAGAAAAACAGCCTTTGACGGTTGTCTCATTCATATCCCAAAGTATACTACTTTCTGACATTTGATCAGTTTGTCAAAATACTGAAATTATACCCATGTATTTAAACGGGGTTTGCGGTTTTCTTCTTCCTAACCTGACTTCATAGGATCATCTTTTGACCACATCGATGTATACACTACTTTTTCCTGTTAACTTATTCTCTAACAGAACTACTGTTTCACAACCAACAACAACGGAACAGTCTATCATATCATGTGATACATTATTAGATGTAATTTTGACAACTGAGAATGGAAAGGGTGGATACGAATTAAGAGATATTCTTCCAAAAAACAATTTGTGGTGATGCTGATCAGATGCTGCACACAGCAGCTGGCTCGTAAGTGGTGTGCCGATTACGAAAGTATGGAGCACAATTCTATCGCGTGAACCCAACGTGAATTGACAAATTGGTAAATAGTGGTTTACAGTGTTACTCCCTAAGGGAGCAAGTGATCGGTATGTACCACCAGGTAAACAAATTGATGATCGGCAGATATAAACAAGAATAAAATCCAACCTTCTGTATTATTGAAAGCGTGAATGCTTCAAGGGTCTCTCTCAAGAAGCTTGAATGAAGGAAGCCTTCGACAGAGATGTCGAGTGGTGAGACAAGGTGAAGATGAGAAAAGGAAGTAGCAGTTATAGTGGACGCAGTAGGAGAAAGAGGGCGCGTGAAGTTCGTTGGGTTCTTGTTTCGTTGTTATTGATTATTTGGATGTTGATTGGAGCGCATCTTCGGTGGGTCGTCGGACCGGGTTCGTCGGACTGTAAAGAAAACTGGCTACTCCGAAAACAGACTGGTAGGATATTTCCTACGCTGTGACCAGACGGTGTGTTTGGCAACTATTAAGCATTTACTGCATCCAAGCCCACGGCAATGACGATTCTCGTCCCCGAGGAAACCTCGACGTCGTCTTTGGGAAACGGTTTCTCAGCGCTGGCGGTTCACGCTTGTCTTTGTCACGCGGGCAATTGGAAGTGGCGGTCAATTGGAACCGGGATGATGGGGCCTGACGCATTGGGCAAGTAGACCTGGAGATGCAGCGTTTTCTCAGGGGAGTTGTGTTCTGGAATGTTAAACTCATAAAGAGTGGGTCTTCGTAGGTACAGGCGCTGTGACACCGTATGAAAAACGAGGCAGGCATCCAAAAAAAACTTATACTTTTGGCTTTTTTACGTCTTGAATTTTTTCTACCTTTTGCAACATGACCGTGTTTAAAACACATGACGGTCATTAAAGGTACAAAGTACACATGTCAAGGAAAATGAGAAACGCTAACAAAATCGGAAAACACAATAGGCGTTTGACCTGTCTACCACATTGTTCAATTGACTGTGGTTGGGGCTGGGTTGACGGCAGATCAAGGTAAAAGATGGGTCTATGGTGCTTGGTGCGGAAGACGCAGCGGCGGGTGCGCTCATTTGTGCAGCTGTACTACGGAGGTTTGGAGGCTGACCTGCGAAGAATATAACCATGAGGCAGTTGATGGGAACCGTTGTTAGGTGACCACTCTGGTCTAAGTTAAAGTTCTTGGGAGTTCATTGAATAACTCTGAAGGGGCCAGTGTAGGGAGGCTGAAGTGGGCGACGCACTGCGCAGATGGAGAGACGAATGTGCATTTGCACATCTGCTGTCTGCTCACGAGGACAGGTTAGGCGAAGCGAACGCATGCGTTGAGAAAGTTAAGCTGCAAAGTTTGATGATGACATGTACGACGTAGAGGGGACAAAACCGAATTCGCCTGACGGCTTAAGTGTCCTGCGGTAGATCACCACTGATGATGCGCACTGCAGGTCAATTTTTATGCGGATGTGAGTAGCTAGAACTGCTAGTGAAGTGTTTTCGCTCCGGTCAGGGTTGGATGTGACATAGGGAGAAGACTTAAGCTACCGATGAAAGCATCCGATTAAGCTATCTGCCGCTGGGTTATACGCCGTCGTGTGGATACGCCGACAGGCAAGGAAGTTGCAGAACGTAACGAATTGCGAAGATTCCAAAGGCGTTCCACAGCTTGTTGTGATTGTAGATGGATAACCGTATTGTGACACCCAACAGTGAACAACCCACCGACGACAGTTTAGACTGCACGGTATGGTACAATCAAGGCTTCTGACCATCAAGTGAAGCGATCTACACATGTCAGTATATATGCGAATACGCAAGAAAGATGCAGTGGTCCTACCTGGTCTAAATGTACGTGTGAGAACCGCGAATCCGGGGGCAGGGAATGAACCGAGAGGACTGTGCGTGTGTCAATGTACCTGGGAGCACGGGCAGTGAAAACAAGCTCCAACCCAGCTACGAACACCTTTGGTTACGCTTGGGCGAACGAAATGAGTGAAGGGTGTCGAGGACTGTACATCTGTAAGAGGCGGGCACGAAGGGTCAAGGACAACCTGTGGAAGCGTAGTTTGGAGAAGAATGTGTTGCACATGCAATGCGTTTGACTTTAGGGTGCGTTAGTGGCCTTACTACTAGGGCTGAGTCAGTGGCATGGAGGCGAGGTCGACAGTAGGCACAGAGTGAAGTGTGAGTTTGACGCAAGGCAGAGCGCTAGCGACAGGTTTGGCGACACCAGAGGTGTGGCTTACTCCGGCAAAGAACTGCGTCGTAAAGTCTAGGTATCTACTTTCTCGTGGTGAATGTTTGTCAGAAGATGAGTTGAAGGCGCAAATTAGAGGGTTGTGATCAGTGTAGACCGTGAAAGTCGGGCAATCTAATGTGTGTCGGAAGTGTCGGATAGCTCAGTAGATTGCAAGCGGTTCTCTACCAAACGTGCTGTTGTGGAATTCCGCTGATTTCAAGCATTTGGAGAAGAGACCGACTGATTGCAACTGCCCACTAACTTGTTGTTGGAAAACAGCTTTTACCACCAAATCTGAAGTGTCAATTGTAAGAGAAAGAAGAGCAGACGGTTTGAGGAAATTTCTGAGATCTGTGTTAAAGGTAGCATCCTAGAGGTCGATGAAAACTGCGTGTGCTGCATCAGGGAAAGCGAACTTACGCTCATTTCTTTTGAGAAGGTCAGGCAGAAATTGTATGATCTGAACGCAGCCAGGGTGAAGCGTCGGTAGTAGCTGACTAGATCACAAAAGCGACGGGGATGTTTATATGAAGTCGGAGCTACGGAATCTTAATAGCGCGAATTTTGTTCACAAGGACCTCGATGGCAGAAGTTAAGGTCAGGTGGCCCAGGAATGGTACCGTGGACTTGTCAAGTTCGTACTTTGTCAAATTAACAGTGACAATATGTTATGTCAGCCATTGATAGAGCAACCGAAGATAAGCAATATGCTCTTCGTCGTAGAAACTGGCTAAAAGAATGTCATCGAGGTTGGGAGAAGCGAAGTTTAGGCCACGACTTGCGCGGTGGATAAAGCGTTGCGAACTCTGCGCGGTGTTGCACAGTTCAAAATGCATACTTATTCTTCGAACTAGCCGAGGGGAATGATAATGGCTGCTTTACCTATGTCAGTTTCCTCGACAGATGTCTGGTGTTAGACACGAACAAGGTCGACCCTGCTGAAGGCCAATTTAACTGTGAGACATGCAGTAAACTCCTGCTTGTGAGGCATGGGTACCAGTCGTAGACCGCAAAATACTTTAGGGTCTAGTATTCCAGGCACGTACTCCAGTCACAAGATTTCTATGGGAGCATCTGAAGTAGAGAAGACCAAAGAATTTCGGAAGTACGGAGTATTATACGTTCGAACATGTGTTCAATCGCCGTCGTAGGTAGCTTCACTTCTTTCAGCGAAAGTTGGCGCTTTGGGGTTGAAACGATTGGGTGGTTAATCCGGATATAATGAGTGACGGGAGATGTCACAGGCAGAGCTACGTTCATTATCTGAATGAGCTTAGGCAGTGCGAGAAAAGTTCGACGTAATGTTTATAGATCTATGGGCTAAGGTAGACTGAGGTGATGTCTTTGATGCCGGCGTTGGTGCCAGGGACGCTGTGCGTCGTTACGGCTTCGAGTATCCCCATTTGTTTCGCATCATCCAAGAGGTCAAAATGTCTAGGGTAATCTATGCCGACGGTGGCAGTTAGAACGGCGGTAATAATGAATACATGGCGAAAAGTTCAAAGGAGAACAAAGTTAATGTTTAAAGACCCTGCGGCTGAGTTGCCTCCGCAGGTGTGGCTGGAACCACGCTAACCTCAGCCCAGATATCAACCAGAAACTGGTTCAAGCTTGGCAATTTTGAACCTCAAGACTGCCACCGGAGATGAGGCCGGTAAGGTTGTTGGTATAGGATTTGCAGCTTGATGGGCTCCCCGATTGTGTCGAGGGGAAGATGCTACGCGTAGTACATCACTTCGCATGAAGACGAAGGCAGCAGTGATACTAGCATAGTTTGTTAAGTGTTAAGCTGCTTTGCTTGGCCATTTTGCTCTTGAGTACCGGTGAGTTATCGATCACTGCAGTGAAATCGAGAGCGCTGTGTAATGCCGCTAGTGTATTAATTACTGTGGTAAGCTCAGAGGACGCGGCTGCATAAAACATGCATGATGTAGGTAGCTACTGATACGCGTTATGGTTATTCTGCGGATACGCAGAGCGTGCTGTTACG